ACCATGTTGGCCAGGCTGGTCTTGAACTCCTGACCTCAGGTGATCCACCTGCCTCGGCCTCCCAAAGTGCTGGGATTACTGGTGTGAACCACTGTGCCCAGCCTGAGTTTTGTATTTTTAGTAGAATCGGGGTTTCACTATGTTGGCCAGGCTGGTGTCGAACTCCTCACCTCAAGTGATCTACTTGCCTCGGCCGAGCCACCGTGCCTGGTCAAGATTTCAATTATTTTAAGTTAGTTGAAGTTTCGTCTACCATGTGAACATTGGACACTTAGAAGAAACTGTGTTCTCTTGTTAGGTGAGTATTCTGCATAGGCTGGTTGGGTCCTGTTGGTTGCTGTGTTGAGTTACTCTGTATCCTTGCTGGTTTTCTGCTTTTCTCTGTTACCAAGAGTGAAGTGTTGAAGTCTCCAGCCATAATTGCAGATGTGTCTATTTATCCCTTAGGTCTATCCATTTTTGCTTTTTGTATTTTCAGGCTCTGTGGTTTGGTGCATTCACATTTAGGATTATTATGTCTTCCTGGGGATTGAACTTTTTCTCAGTATGTAATGTCCCTTTGTCTCTAGTAGTTTTCTTCCTTCTGAAGTTTGCTTCATCTGATATTAATATAGCCACTCCTGCTTTCTTTTGATTAATGTTTGCATGATTAATGTTTTCCATTCCCAGGAAAAAGGAGGCCAGAAAGTAGAGGGCCAACTAGCCCCACCTCTAACCACCTCACGGCATGTCAGGGGTTCCAAATAGGGGTGGAGATAAGTTAGAGTTCAGCTCCCACTGGGCCCTTATGTGGCCAGGGGAGAGCAGTCAGAGTGTGGACTCCTTTGCCTCACACCATCTCCTTCTGCCTTGTGGATGCCAGGTGGGGTCGAGGCTTAGACTGTTCTTGCTGGACCACACTGACAGTGCCCTGGTGGGACAGACAGACAGTATGCTGATGGGACAGACAGAGGAAGCACCTTTACTTCCATGGGCAGAGGAAGGGGGATCAGCTCTCTGCTCAGCCCCACCAATACCCCCTGGTGCCTGGCAGGGGAACAGGAATGTGTCACCTACTTTTGGGAAGCCGGGGTGGTGTGGAAGGTCTGCTCCCAGGGTGGCCCTGATGAAGTTGTAAGGTGCAGTTCTTCCACTGGTGTTCGACTTAAGTAAAGTGGGTGTTGCCAAAACAATTTTTCTTTAGTTGGCTCACTGTGAAGTTAAGGAATGGTTCCCAAGACCCCTCTTATGACACCAAGAGCAAATGCAGGCATCCCTGAGTCCCCTGTCGGGTTTGATGATTTGCTAGGATTACAGAGCTCACTGACTGCAGTTATTCTCGTGGTTATGGTTTATTATAGGGAAAGGAGATAGATTCAAAAATTATAATCAGCCTTGGGAAGAGTTGCAGAGGGCGGAGTCCAGGAGGGCTCATGCCTGGAGCTGGTCTCCACTCCCTGGCGGGTGTCCTCTTCTGGGGAGTTGTTGGCAACATTACTTTCCCCCACGGGGTGGTGAGTGTCAGCACCTGTGGAGTACTGCCAGCCACACCCGAGCTTTGGCATCCAGGGTCTTTACTGATGCTCAGCTCCATGGATGTGTAGACTTAGACTCCCTGCATGGCTGATCTCAGCCTCCAGCCCCTCTGAAGGACAAGCTTGTTATCATGTGGCCCAGCACTCCTGCTCCTCCAGGCCCAGTCTCCCACTGATCAAAAGGCAGGAGTCAGAGCCCCAGTGAACCTCAGTCATTAACTAGTGTGTCATTGCCTCTGCAGGTTCTCAGCGCGATGCCCCGGCTCTGCAGGAAGCTGAAGTGAGAGGCCCGGAGAGGGCCCAGCCCGCCGGGGGCAGGATGACCAAGGCCCGGCTGTTCCGGCTGTGGCTGGTGCTGGGGTCGGCGTTCATGATCCTGCTGATCATCGTGTACTGGGACAGCGCGGGCGCCGCTCACTTCTACCTGCACACATCCTTCTCCAGGCCGCACGCAGGGCCGCCACTGCCCACCCCCGGGCCGGACAGAGACAGGGAGCTCACGGCCGACTCCGATGTCGACGAGTTTCTGGACAAGTTTCTCAGTGCCAGTGTGAAGCAGAGCGACCTTCCCAGAAAGGAGACGGAGCAGCCACCCGCCCCGGGGAGCATGGAGGAGAGCGTGAGAGGCTACGACTGGTCCCCGCGGGACGCCCGGCGCAGCCCCGACCAGGGCCGGCAGCAGGCGGAGCGGCGAAGCGTGCTGCGGGGCTTCTGCGCTAACTCTAGTCTGGCCTTCCCCACCAAGGAGCGCGCATTTGACGACATCCCCAACTCGGAGCTGAGCCATCTGATCGTGGACGACCGGCACGGCGCCATCTACTGCTATGTGCCCAAGGTGGCCTGCACCAACTGGAAGCGCGTGATGATCGTGCTGAGCGGGAGCCTGCTGCACCGCGGCGCGCCCTACCACGACCCCCTGCGCATCCCACGCGAGCATGTGCACAATGCCAGCGCGCACCTGACCTTCAACAAGTTCTGGCGCCGCTATGGGAAGCTTTCCCGCCACCTCATGAAGGTCAAACTTAAGAAGTACACCAAGTTCCTCTTCGTGCGTGACCCCTTTGTGCGCCTCATCTCCGCTTTCCGCAGCAAGTTTGAGCTGGAGAACGAGGAGTTCTACCGCAAGTTCGCTGTGCCCATGCTGCGGCTGTACGCCAACCACACCAGCCTGCCCGCCTCAGCGCGGGAGGCCTTCCGCGCCGGCCTCAAGGTGTCCTTCGCCAACTTCATCCAGTACTTGCTGGACCCGCACACCGAGAAGCTGGCGCCCTTCAACGAGCACTGGCGGCAGGTGTACCGCCTCTGCCACCCATGCCAGATCGACTATGACTTCGTGGGGAAGCTGGAGACGCTGGACGAGGACGCCGCGCAGCTGCTGCAGCTGCTCCAGGTGGACCAGCGCCTCCGCTTCCCCCCAAGCTACCGGAACAGGACCGCCAGCAGCTGGGAGGAGGACTGGTTCGCCAAGATCCCCCTGGCCTGGAGGCAGCAGCTATACAAACTCTATGAGGCCGACTTTGTTCTCTTCGGCTACCCCAAGCCCGAAAACCTCCTCCGAGACTGAAAGCTTCCGCGGCAGGTCCTTCCGCTTGTGCCCAGAACCTGCCGCACGTGCGCTCCAGTTTTTTTATGACCTACAATTTTACAATCTGGGCTTCTTGTTTACTCCACTGCCTCTATCCATTGAGTACTGTGTCCATATTGTTTTTTAAGATTAATATATTTCAGATATTTAATACGAAACGTGGAAGGGAATGCTGGAGTAAAATCTCCCCTCTGCCCGCCAGCTCCTGTGGTTTCTCTGGCTGAGCGCAGCGGCCCCTGGAGGGGATGCTGAGGCTGATGGAGCTGCCTCCAGGGCTCCAGCGCTAACAGGTGGAGGGCAGGGCCTGCACTTGAAGTCAGGCCGCACCTGGATATTTTTAAATGGCTAGCCGACAAATCCTTCAAGAGGGAAAGTTCTTTAAGTGTTGTACTTGAAAAGGTCAATCTTCAGGGCTTCCTGTTTGAAGTCAAGTCAGAGGTAACCCGGTCAGTTACAGAAGCTGGATTTCTAACGCCAGTTATTCCCTTTAGTGTCTAGTTTAAATCATGGCAGTTAAGGCCAGGCGGGTGACTCAGGCACGTAATCCCAGCACTTTGGGAGGTGCAGGCAGGAGGATCACTTGAGGTCAGGAGTTTGAGACCTGGCCAACATGGTGACACCTTGTCTTTACTTAAAAAAA